ATTACAGTTACTTTTATGTAGTGTGTAAAAAGGATGGGGCAAGCTAACACCCCACACCCAAAACAAATAAAAATTGTAAAATACAAACGGAAAAATTATAGAATACAAATGGAAAAATATATATGGCACGCCAAATTCACAACAATGAGCAAATCATAGTTTCACAATCGATAAACTAGATTTATCGGTTGTAAACTATAGTGTACGGACTGTAAACTATACAACGTTAATCTATATTTTACATCTATAAATTATAGTTATCGCGTTAATCTATTTTTCACAACCGTAAACTATACTTTACACCGAAAAACTTTTCCGATTGCAAAACATAGATTATCTGATAAAATCAGTTTCACGATTTGTAAACTATAGTTTGCAAACCGTAAACTATAGTTAACGATCTGATAAATATAGTTTCACGATTTGCAAAACTATGATTAACAACTCTTTACTATAGTTTACGATTGTAAACTATAGTTTACAAACGTGAATCTATGTTTATCAACAAAGTCTATTGTTAACGCTTATTACAGACAGATAAACTTATATTAGTATTCGTAAACTATAATTAACGACCGTTAAATATAGTTGTACAGATGAAAACTATACTTAACGAATCGTTAACTATAGATTACGGTTTGTAAACTATAGTTTACAGTCGATAAACCTAGTTTATCAATTGTGAAACTAGGTTTATCTCATTTTTGTGAATTTGGGGTGCCATAAATACAGATTGCAAATAAAAATAAACAATACAAATGGAGAAGATCGAACATTGCAACGTTTGACAGGCTATAATAATGCTACTGAACTCTTCTACAATGTACCAAGAAATTAAATTCCAGTGGAACAATATTTTCCTCAAATCAAAAAGATTTGACCCCTCGAAAAATGTTATTTCATAGTATTCACCAGGTATTCGAATGAAAACTTTGTAATATCGAACAGGTAATGTAAACCGACTTTTATTCGGGCGGGAGAACTTTTTGCAAGGTTCGTGAGAGCCTCGTCATTGCGAATATTTCTCACTGCGAACCGCTCCATAACGTTTGTCTTTTAACAGCATATCCAAAAAGGCCGTTGACGGCCAGTTCTTGGTCTGTCATCCGTGTTTTTAGCTGGTGGAGACGTACGTTTAACGGCTGCAAAGCCGATTGATGTTCCTCACCTCCTGTTTCGTAGCTCCGGTTATCAAAATAGCGTTGTGTTCATCTTTGTTACATGTAAGGCGTGGCGTTGCAGCATCAACGTCGCAATCAAATCTTAAATATGGGTTTAATAAGAGTGTTTATTGTTTCTCTAAATCCAAAATATCAATGAAAATAGACCCCCAATGTAGAAGAAATAATGAAAAACATTTCATATTTTCATAAACAGGATTCATCAAGGGGAATAATTCAACACTTGGGTTTATAACAAAAAAAAGGGGGTAAGGATAATCCTGTCCACGCGAGCACCTGTCGGCCTGGAGGGCTATTAACAACAATTATAAGGAATTTTTGTCGTAGAATACAGTAGTAAGTGATATAATATGTTAGGAACACACGGTAATTTATATTTTGAGATGGATGTTTACAAACATGGAACCGCACAACTTTTGTACTTAATAAATATATACAGATTTTACAATGGGTGGCGCTGTAGCTCTCCGGTTTGTCAATATGTTTTTCGAAGAGCTACAGTCCTGCAGCTAGGTCTTCTTTTTTCATAGCTATTTCACCCATTAAAGAAAAACAGAGTTTATTTTAATAGCATAAAAACAAAAAAAGAGGCTTGGTGGACTAAAAAAGGAGTCCTGCATTTCAGATATTTCACTTATATAGGAGACCTGTAAATATTTTTGTCCGTTTTTATTACGGTATCAAAAAGAAAAACTGATTGGGTGGACATGATAACGCAACAAAAGAAATGGACAGGACAAAAACAATATACGCCTCGTCCTCTGTTTTTTTCAGATATTTCAATATAGTATATGTATTCTACAAATATTTTTTATAGTAAAAAAAAAAAGGGAATGAGTTTATTTTCCTAGCATTAAACTAGAAAAAGTGTAAGAAAAAAATTCCGACCTCTGTATTTTATCATTTGATTAAAGAAAGGAAAGAAACAAAACTAATTGTAAGTTTTTATTATCGTAGAATAAAATGAACTAGAGCGAGTATAATATGATTGATCTTAAAACGCAGTATAATAAAACAAAAAGTCCACCCATATTTGAGGTATCTTTCTTTCATTTGGTTATATATCGAGCTTACTATAAATTTTGGCATCATCGTCTTCATTTCATAATCAAGGTAAGATCATTCCGAAGCCGATGTTTTAAGGATTCAATGTCTAGTTAGTAGAGTATACCAGGGCATCAACGATAGTTGGAAACAAGAGATAATTTAAATAACGTGTTATTCTTTATATTTCCATTTCATTGTGGAAAAAAAATGTAAATTTATATTTTAAAAGCGTTATCTACCGGGTAATAGATTTAAACATCATTAGGCCTCCCATGCATGTCAAATTTTGAAATTCCCGATCATGACAAGGGGCACACGGTAGGTGTAACCAGCTGCTCACTTTTCCATGACATATGACCCGACTTTTGATGTTTTGGAGGTCCGTGTTTGCTCTGCTTGTTCGTTATCTCCATATATTTCGTCAATCGTTTCTCCATATCTAAACATTCTTTTATCTCTATTCTTAATTTTCGTTTTCTACATTCTGATGATTCCTAAATAATGAAAAAAATCATTTTAACAATAAATTTAGAATGAATACATGCGTAAATGTGTATACTAAACCGACGGCGGACCATATTTTATGGAGTCAGGCTGTATTAGAACCCCCCTCCCCAGCATTAATAAAAGGGTAGTAAACCCCGAACCTTTCAATATTGTACGACATGGTCAATGCATTACGAAGTGTCTGTTGATCTAAAACATTTTTTTGAAAAATATACGTTCGAATATGCATACTTTGCCGGCATTGACGGGTCCATAAGTGGAGAGGGGCTTCCGAGGGTCGGACATCCCTTTTATTTTTGCATAGAGAGCGGGAGAGTGAAAGAGACAGAGAGAAAAATGTTTTTATGTAACATATTAGATACTGTTATGTCTAATATTTTAAATAAAATAAGTATATATTATTAAATATCTGCCTTTTATGCTTACAAGATACAGAAGTGTTTCCCCGTATTGATTTACCCCGTGTACCTTCACTATCCCGACCTCAGTCCCTGACTTCTCACAGGTTTCCCTTTCAAATCAGTGGAATTTTCGCCGAGTTTATCTATATGCCATTTAAACCATCTCTATAAAAAATCATGAAAGGGGGTATGCAGAAGAGAATATTTCTCTCCTTATATATCATGCGGATATTTTAATCAATAAAGAGAATTGTGTAAATGGTATGAGGAGAGAAGGGTGCTCTCTTTTTAGTCTGAGAATAATCTTATGCTGTAGTTTTAATGCGTAGGTTTTGATTTGGACTGATGATCTGATTGCTCTCCACACCCATTGTTGCCAGGTCAAAATATCCAATTAATTAAAAGCATTCAAATGAAAATGTTTCTAAAGGTTGGACCCCCATCCCACCCCTTGAAATAAAAATTAAAGTTTATGCGTTATTTGTGTTTATTCTTTGCTTGTCAAATATTTTTGGACGTTCCTCCCTTTGAAAACCACTGCTATGGGCTTATGGGTACCTGTTGTGCGATTATATGTATGAGTATCGGGGCGCCAAACCTGGACCCCCCCCCCTTTTTTTTTCAAGAATTGCTGGATCCGGCGTTCATGGAATAACTTATGGTTAATATTATGCAGATAACATTGTTATTATTCAGAATGTGCTTATGAATATATATTGTAAATTACTAAAGCTAGTTAATAGGAAATGTATAAAAGTATCCTTTTCAATAAAAGGGTCCTATGTAAAACGAAATTAAACTACAACATTGAAAGATTTTAGCTGTTCGTTGTATTGTCTAAAAAATAAACTGATAATGATAATTACTAAGGGAAATGTAATTCATAGGCGTCGGAACCGGGGGGTTGAGGGGCTTAGCCCCTCACCTCCCACCACTATTTTTTGCAAAGATAGCCGTTATATAGGCATTGAAAAATGGGATTTTCCTTTATTTGTTGGTTTAGCTCCCCCCTTTCACTTAGCCACCCCACTTTCAATTTGCTTCCAACGCCTATGTAATCCCTATTATTCTTGCAAACTAACTGATCATGAGATTACTTTCATGGGGAACGTCCACCTCATCGTTTTTCTTATGCATAACTTTTCTATCGTCGTTCCTTTTATTTCCAATTCACCATTTAAAATTCCCATTACTCAAAATGTTGATCTCTAAATGCAAAAAATCAAATTTTCATGAGTATAGGTCATACAGAACCCTTCAATTATAACAGCCCCATGAGGATCCGGGTTAGAATAGGTCCTCAGTACCCCTTGCTTGTCGTAAAAGGTGACTAAATGGGGCGGTCCTTCGGATGAGACCGTATAAACCCAGGCCCCGTGTCACAGCAGGTGTAGCACGATAAAGATCCCTCCCTGCTCAAAGGCCGTAAGCGCTGAGCATAGGCCTAGATTTGCAGCCCTTCACCGGCAATGGTGACGTCTACATAACAGTGAAATATTCTGGAGAGAGACGTTAAACAGTATACAATCAATCAATCAATTCTCACATCCCTTTCCTCAATTTATTTACACTTTAAAAGACCAAACTAGGTTTGTTTGCAAGAAACAATTTAATTGCATCAACTATGTTAGAAAAAAATTACGCTTTCATGAAATAAGATAACAGCCAAGTGTTACTTAGATAATTCATGTTGTTACATTGTTGTATATCCTGTTGTATACAAAATATAGAAATTAATTCACACAAAAGAAAGTTTCTTTTTTTTCCTTTAAAACTTTTACAAGGACATCACTCAGTATTTGTGTCATGTATAGAAGTATTTTATCACTACGTATTTCATTTTGTGTCCTATATATAGCTGTAGCTAAGTTCATTAAACCACATAATACATTGTCCATAAGTTAAGAAGTTAAAAAATATACACTATGAATAAAGTTGACAGACTGACAAAAAATTTAATACTATCAAAAAATTTAATACTATCTTGTTAAAAACCATCTTAGTTAAAAATGCAATAAAAAGTCTTTTTGTTTGACTACCAATATTGCCCAAGTTTAATTAGTTTCTCAGGTTGTGACTGTTTCAAACCAACTGAATAATATCAGTACATTGTATTTTTGAAATGTTTTCCTTTAAGTAGCAGTCTTATTTTACAGCATATTTGATTTGCTTCAAAGGAAACCCCTTCAATGATGCTTTCTATATTGCAGTAAGTGTATCTGTCTAGGAGTTCTTCCAGAAAATATAATACTCTTGAAGTGTTTCTTCTGGTACTCTTTTTCCTCAATCAAGCACTGGTGTCCTAAAGATACTCCTGAATAAAATGAATAAGAAATACATGTATGAGATGCCAGTCTTTAGAAATACATGTTTAAGAACAAGTAACTATTAAATAATGAAGATCACTCAATATCAAAATTTTGTTAAATAATGAAATTTGGTCATGGTAAACTGAACATTACTATGGAACATTAGAATCTCAACTTGGAAAAAATTGGGGATATCTAGGAGTTCAAGATATAATATTTCGTCAAACCCACTCTCCAATCATTTGAATGAGTCGCAAAGCATGACATTCTACTACATGTTTACAATTCAATAGCGACAAGTCAATGTGGTTTTCATTGGTTAACTGCGCAATATATATTTTGTCACCAGAAAAATAGTATGCAGTTTTCTTTTATATATTATACATCATTTTCATTATCAAACAATATAAAAATTGACTGCAAATGAGTTTCCAAGGGTCAATTAAAGTTGGTATTTGTTTACAACAAAACTGTTTCATAATGATTGACACTTAAACAGTAAAACTCCGTTAAAACAAAGTCACTGGGACCCATGAAATTACTTTGCTATTATAAAATATTACTTCGTAATTCGTTATATCAAAATTAAGAACTCGATAAATTTATATAGCTGGGAATCCAAAATAAGTTTGCTATATCTGTGAATTCGCAATATTCATGTTCGTACTAAATGAATTTTGCTGTAGTAACCCATGATACATTGTGACTCATTCTCTGTTTGTCAAATCTAATTAAAATTAGATGTTAGATCTGCTCGCATACTCGCTAACACTAACATCCCATAAGGGTCAAACATCCCATAGAGGGTCATGTCAGAGGTCAAATAAGGAACGGCTCTGGACTTATTCGCTTCAACAATATACAATGATTTTGCAGGCGAGTATTTGATTGGTTGATAGAATTTGACCTTAATGTGACCCTGAATGGGATGTTGTTAGATTTTAGTGTAAGGAGTATGCGAGTGGATCTAACATCTTATTTTAATTAGATTGCTATTGGTAAAGTTACATATAACTTATTTACATTCAAATATATATGCTGACATCAGAAAATCTAGTGGTCCCAATCTATTTAAGATTAACTAATTAATATCAAGCACTAGGGACCTTCAGTAAACTTTAATATGTGAAACATTCAAGAATATTTAAGATATCATAAGTTTATAAATTAAACTTTAAAAATTTGCCAGTACTTGATTGGAACAAATGCCAAATGAGAATATGATCTACAACTGGTGAAAAAAATTACCTCATGGTGTGAATTTGATCTTGCCATTTTTACTTTCTGTTTCATGAGGCAGAGGACTACAACCTGATAAGATACATGTAACAATATAAACTTCTGAAGACAAAACATCACTGTCCATAAAATGGATATACATGTAAAGTCCGATAATTTTACAAAGCTGTGGAAGACTAATTATTTCTGTCTCTGATAACATCTAATACCATATAATTCAATCTTCAAATATTAAAACAGCTGCTTAAGAAAAACCAAAATTTCAATATTGGAAAAAAATACCTTTTTCAGGGGAAAAAATGAAAATAAATACCTTTGTCAGGAAGATCAATCTCATCAAAGTCCATTCCCCTATACTTCTGAATGGTGCCACTGTCTACATACTATGGAGAAGCTTTGAAACTTTTGCATGGCCTCGATTGTTCGGAAGTTGGTGAAATTCTCTATTAACCCTTACGTTGTGGCCCTGAAAAGTAGAGAAATCATGAAAATAAATTCTCAAATGAAAAAAAAATCAAAATTTCAAAATTATGCTTCAAAGATAAATAATACAAACAAACTGTTTTCAGAAACCAGCTATATTTCTCATAGATTTACAATTCAATTGGTAACACATTGGTTTCACATATTTTTTACTAGATTTCTCAGTGAAGTTAATCATTTAATGCCAGTAAGATTTAACTTTCCATCGATTTTACATATATTAAAAGAGAATAACTGCTTTTTTGATTACAAAAACTTGGTTTAACAACAAGCTCCTTGTCATTTTATAATACAAGCGTTTTTGGCATTACCCAACATCACTTGAAATCAAACACTTGAAATCTTTCCCTTTTAGTGCTTCAAAAAATTGAAAAAAAGACAGGTCATAACGAAAACTAATTGCTAAATTCCAAATGAACTAATTTCCGATTTCTGTATTTTCATAAAAGCAAAATAATAGACTTATTTTCAACTAAAAATGCGTACAAAATACGGCGAAATCATAAGTGTAAACAGGTTTCTAATTTACTCTGAAAAGAAAACTCACTACATGTGTTTAAATAATTTACTCTGGAAAGGAAACTCCCTATATGTGTGTAAATAATTAAGTCTGGAATGGAAACTCACTACATGTGTGTAAATAATTTACTCTGGTAGGAAAACTCACTACATGTGTGTAAATAATTTACTCTGGAATGGAAACTCACTACATGTGTGTAAATAATATACTCTGGTAGGAAAACTCACTACATGTGTTTAAATAATTTAGTCTGGAAGGGAAACTCACTACATGTGTGTAAATAATTTACTCTGGTAAGGAAACTCACTACATGTGTGTGATAAATGTACAATGACCATAAAACTCACTACAAGTGTGTAAATAATTTACTCTGGAATGGAAACTCACTACACGTGTGTAAATAATTTACTCTGGTAGGAAAACTCACTACATGTTTTTAAATAATTAACCTTATTTAGTCTGGAACTGAAACTCACTACATCATGTACATGTGTGTAAATAATTTAATCTGGTAGGAAAACTCACTACATATGTTTAAATAATTTACTCTGGAAAGGAAACTCACTACATGTGTTTACATAATCTAGTCTGGAATGGAAACTCACTACATGTGTGTGATAAATGTACAATGACCATAAAACTCACTACATGTGTGTAAATTATTTACTCTGGTAAGGAAACTCACTACATGTGTTAAAATAATTTACTCTGGTAAGGAAACTCACTACATGTGTTTACATATATAATCTACTCACGAAAGGAAACTCACTACATATGTGACATGGGTGATAACATATCCATAAATTTCACTCTGATACTTTTTCTTCTTAGTAATTTCCATACTTTCTGATGCTGTATTGTGCTAGCTGTGTATTACCAGTTCTTACTTTCATACTGATTCCAATTGTTGATTATATTAATTATTTATAAATTTGCAAATTTAATTTCTATTACAAAGTGTTTTCCCTTAGAACCAGCTACCCGCAAATTTGACCGCTTCAATGTACAAAAATGCCGCTTTGAAATAAAAAAATTGTTGTTAGATCCTCAGAGATTTTGTTCATAAACCTAAGCCCCTAGCCTGTTACAGCTTATCTCTAACCCTCTACTTTAAAATAAAGGGAAAAACACTGTAATACAAATATAAACTTGAATATTTTTTTTCTGCAGGAAAGAATTCATGTGAGTGATGTGAGAAAAACAAAATGTTAGACTATTAGACTATATGTGTATATTAAATTAAAGTATTCAAAATTAAGCACAATCAATGAGTATGTGGAGTTGTTGATGTAGTCAGGAATTAGTACTTCACATGAATGTTAAATATATTGTATGTATATCCTATCATCCTATATTAGCAGTATTCATAAATTAATACATAGTTGTTCATGCCAAAGCTGACAAGAAGCCCACTTTTTAAGTACACATACAGACTGAGTATGATATTCTAAAATTATGTTATTAAGGGGATGAAGGACCTTTAGCTGAAAAAATACCTGTCATTTAATTTTTTTCATATTTTGCATATATATCTTATTTAGTATGTCCTACATACTATAAAGCAGACATATCAATAGGTTTCTAGACTTATTTCTGAGATATTGAGTGACAAATACCATACACCACAGTGTCTGAGGGTAGTTTTTATTCTCCGTGATTCTGGGTCCATTACTCGGTCGATAATTGAAATTTTTCACCATAGATAAAAAATATACCAGCGGAAGTGTGTCTTTTAAAATATTTTAGAGTATGAATAGGGTTAAAAATTCAAAAAAGCAAGATTATTTTGTAACACCACATTTACGACTTTTTTAGGACAACTTAAACCATAAAAAAATTAATTTGCAAAAAATCCTATCATTCAATATTTGAAAATTTACGTCGAAGTTCAAGGTCGTCATTGTATTGATTAATTGTAAAAATATCGATTGGTGAAGCTGAGCTCAATATAATCAGTGCTCCAAGTTGCGACTAAAACGGTCGCATTTGCGACCCAAAAGTTGGTTTTGCGACTAGAAATTAAAACTAAGTCGCATTTTCGCGACTGAGAAAATTTGGGCTGGCAACGTCCATCTTTTTATGATCGGGATCGAGATTTACGTTTTCAAGATTCTCTATCAAGACAACGTTTGAAGATAAATACTTTAACACACTTGACAAAGCGTCGTATGGAATTAGATCACGTAATGTTATGACAGCATGCTGTAATAGTTAAGTTAGATAGAACCAGAAACGTATATACATAATGTTTCTGAGAGAATGGCATCCAAACATCGTAAACTTTCTTGAGTTTCTCTGAATTTGTTATTAGAGCATTTGGTCAATGGCTTGCATATCACAATTAAGTGTTTTGGCGGCACTGATAACGACTGAGTTTAGGTTTAGATAGATACGTAATAGTAAGTAAACAGGTAGGCCTAAACATGATAAACAATTGGCAAAGTCCTGTCTTAACAATTGTCAAAGTTTTATTATATTTTGATGAAACTCTTCTGTGTACATGTTCTTCTGTGTACATGTACTATACAAAGGGTGGTTGTATTAAATAAAAAAATATCCTTCAACTAGCAAAAGATTTCTAGTCACAGTAATTAATAATCTTTGATTTAAATAAAAACATTACACATGTGGAAGTTAGTTCATTGTTTTAATAGTGTTATTTACATGTTTTAATCATGGCGAGTGAAAAATTTGTTTATGGCGACCAGAATTTCTGAAATGGCGACCAAAAAAAATTTTAGGTCGCCATTTAGCGACCTAAAAGTAAGTGCGACTTGGAGCACTGATATTGCACGGGGCAAAGTTAAACGAGTCATGATCATGAGAAAAACGTGTCATGTTTACATTTCTCGAGTACGGGAAAACCCAACTATGACGTCACACATTCCTGAAATAAGCGAAATAAGACAAACCCACAGAACTTTTCCGTCAACAACCATGTAAAAATATTTTTTGCGTTCTGAAATTTACAAAATACCCTACCATGTACATATTACGGCCCGTTTTTATGATTTTATTCTACCCGTTTTTACTGTGTATGATCTTACTGAACCAAGAGATCCACTATGACGTCAAAGACGCACTGGACGCGCAGAGTAGGGAAACGACAGAGTGGATTAATCTATTCCGTAATTTGATAAAATTTGCAAGAAATTTCGAATGTTTTCAGATATTTTTATACTAGATGGTAAACGCAAACAAACAGTCAAAAAATTATACAAGTACTGTGGTTTCAATCTCGTTTCGTACATATTTTATCAGAGATTATGACGTAATTCAACTGAGTCACGTGACCATATATCCTTCATCCCCTTAAAAGCAACTTTGGTCATCCCAACAAAACAGCATCAGGTTTGATATGGTTAAAATGGCATCAAACAAATAGAGATTAATTAATCATTTAATCTATAGAAAATAATATTGCAATTTTCAGGTAAGTTTGGACTTTCAGTAAGGTGTGGTATTCTTGAAATTATATAATTAGCATCTGAAATTTACACAGCTTTCATTCACTGTTGAAATATAATTGTAGTAACATGGGATAGAAATTGGTGCAAATGTCAACCAGTGTACTGATTAACCAATAACATTGTCTTGCCCGACAGAGGTGGAGCTAACTAAGTCGTCTAAAAGTTGTCAAAAAAAATTTTTAGTTCCTTACTCATATGTTATTAATTTATTCACCAATCGGAATCTATTTACCACTAGACAGACACTAATTACCTATAGCGCTGAAAGTCCAAGTTAAACTGAAAATCATCCTAATACAACATACCCGGTAACATACTGACAAAATAGCAAAGTGCCAGCCCAGGGACCACAAAATGTTGATTCTTTATAAACATGAGTATAAAGTTTAAAGAGACGCACAGTTATTTTCAATTTGCACGTTTCCAGATTATCTCCCTAGATGCGTTTTTTATTGATGATGGGGAGTTTCACTGCCACGTAAACAGACAGGTGGGACAGATATTTATAAATTCATAATATTGGATACATTGCATCATGAATATACTAGTCTATCATAAATACACGATTGTCAGGATGCATAACTGAATTAATGTAAGGCTTCATTTTTTAAAACAACAAGAGGCCCAGGGGCCACAGCGCTCACCTGAGCACATCAGCTAGGAAAAAGCACATATCATGATTTGGACGAACTAGATTCTACACAACCTGAGGATAATTCTACATAATATTACTAATCAGCGCTTTGAAGTACTTGAAAAGAAGATTTTAAAAGGTTTCCCTATATACTCCTATGAGAATTTTTGGTCGGACATTTTGGCCCCACCCTACCCCCGGGGGTCATAATTTGAACAAACTTGAATCTACTTTATCTGAGGATGATTTCACAAAAAGTTTCATCTTTCCTGTCTCAATGGTTCTTGAGAAGAAGATATTTACATGTAGTGAGTTTCCTTACCAGAGTAAATTATTTAAACACATGTAGTGGGTTTTCTTTCAAGAGTAAATTATTTTCACACATTACTTTAAACACATGTAGTGAGTTTTCTTTCCAGAGTAAATTATTTTCACACATGTAATGTAACTGGAAAGAAAAAAAGAAAGGAAATAGTCCTGGTCTTGGGGAACTGGAATCTAGCTAACTCTCTCAATGATGTATGTTTTAACTGGTTTATTATACCACTAAAAATAGAGTATTACCAATCCGGACCAATGCAGGGGGATAGGTCCATTAACATATTAGACCAATACAAAAATAAAATATTATTAACAGAGGAATACAGATAACTGGGGAATAACCGTAGCTTCCGAAGCAGGGATTAGTTCATTTGACTAAAGGCACAGGGACTTAGTCCATTCACAGAGATTTCTAGGGAATTATTCATGCACATTTTACTGCTTAACTTATATATGGGAAAAAATCAGTAGACTGAGGTATAATAAATCAGTATAACTTGGACTGATATTTGATTCATCCTTATAAATTAAAGGTTTATTTAAATTCCTAACACTTTACTCTGAATTCCCTGTATTAAAGTTTTAATATTTTTCATTAATACACAACAAAATTGCCACTTTTCTTAAGTATTAATTCATTCCTTATAATCTAATTTTCAATCATTAAATATAGAAAACAATAAAATTTCTCCCTTAGAAATATCTTCAAATTGTTCATATTTTAAACGTAACGTCAAGCAGATTGATAAATTTTGACGCAAGTATTTGTGATGAAGGCACCCCAGGTTATACCATGATCAAATGACGCAAAATTAAATCATCAAAAAATATCCATAGGACAGAATGCCCCAGCCAGGGATTATAAGTAATTCAATGTGAGAATTTGTATTGATAAAGTATATGAAATTTCTTGAATAGTTTCTTATGCAATAGCTGTCCACACGTCGAGTTTAATTTGCAGTAAATTAGTGCGACGTAAACTAATGCGAATCAAACTAATGCGAATTAAATTGCGTTCACACGACAACTTAAGCAAACTAATGCAAATTAAAATAATGTACTTCTACAATCAGGCGTCAGTAAGGCTATTATGACTTCATTTTCAACTCATGTCAAGTTATGCAGAAGCAGATGCATTTTACATAATGTTACTGTGTCTGTACACACATTTTAGTAATTTAACACAATTTTCATTACTCAAAAATAGCACAAGTACTTAAAGCTGACCACTGACATGCGGTAATTGACCTAATTTTGCCATTACGCATGCCTCAAAATTTAAATCTAATTAGCTTTGCTAAGCATTCACACATAGCTAATGCAAAGTAATTTAATGCGCAGTAAATTGATTTGAATTAAGCTAATTCGCATAAAACTCCGTGTGAATGCAGTTAAAATTTAATTCACAGTTACTTATATTTAATTTGAATTAAACTCTCCATGTGTACAGGGCATTAAAAACTGAGTTTCAATAAATAGTCAACTCAATGGGAAGATCAATATATTACATGACACAGTTGATAAATTCTCACCCAAAAATGTTTTTGTGTATCACTTTCAGATTACATGAATATCTAGGATAGTTATTGTGAAACGAATCAAACAAACACAACTTTGAGAAAAGTTATGTCAAGGTTAAAGAAAGCTTGGAAAGGTCAAGGTTAATTTTTTTTTTTAAGTTGTAGAGCTTTCCTCAATATGTATCAACATAAGAATGTTTATAAAAATATCAGAGTTTCTTTAAAAATGCAGTGTGAAGGCCAGAAGGACTAAAGACAGGCATGAAAAACACCATATGCCCTGCCTAATCTATATGGCTATGGTAGGGCATAAAAATAATAACATTTACACAAAGCCTAACTACTGAATACCTTATCAATCTAAAGTACCTTTTATTCTCCACCACAAATTCTTGGTTTGGTCTCCATAATCATTAAGTAATTCTTCCTTCGGGAGGATTACTTTCAAAGCAAATGGACAAAGCCTTGGCTTATTCTGCATTATTTTAAGCGTCATTTTTTTGCCATTAATTTCCATTCTGTCTCAATTATTCAAGGACTAGTATTGACATATGTCACCTTTGTCCTACTGGCATCTCTACAAAAAAGGCAAAAACAAATTAAAATGTAGATATATCAAATGGCTGAAGTACATGCAGACACACTGTATCCAAAAAAATATTAGAATGAATGGATAAAAATCAAGTCAACCTTAGTAAAAAGATGATCATAATCTCCATTTCTGATGCTATGTATGCATGATTGCTCTACATGTGCATGTATTATTATAACAGATTTTAGCTAAAACATACAGTATATCTAAATAATTCTCTACTGGTTGCTTTGGATTTATATGATATGCAATCTTGTTTATTGTATTTTTTTTTTGCCTCAGACTAATAAAACATCCAAATACTTCTCAGTAAAATGAACCTTTTTAAGGAATCACTGTGTAGTTAGTATACAGTACACCAGGACATGGCACATTATGCAAATTATCCCACATTTCCCACTATCGTTGATGTCCCTGGAATACTAAAAAGACAGTGATTGGTTATGTTTCCATCTCATTATGAAATAAAATTATAGATTAAGATTTTTAAAATGTAGACTAATAGATTAAAATTAATCAAGGCCTCCCATGTCAATTTCAATAGTTCTTGCCCACTGACTTCAAACACAAAAATAGCTGTACAAGATTTACTACATGCATATTTGGCTTACTTAGCGTCAGACACAAAGACAGATGCACATGAGATTTACGTGCATATAAGGCCTTCTTAGCCTTGACTTATCGATTTGCGTAATTTGCATTCAGGCAGAATTATAAAGAAATCAACTCCACTAACTTGCCAAATGTTATCACAGAAAAAAACAAATACGAGGGCTGTTAAAAAATTATGCAGACAGAAAAAATATTTGACGATGTGATCGGGCAAAATGTAACACATAATATTAAAGAATCTTTTCTTATATGGTCTTCAAAATTTCATATCAAAATGTTGTAAATTGAAATCAATTTTGGTTGATTTATCAGTACATATTTAATTAATAATTAAGTCATGGTGAAGCAGCATGAATGAATGGGAAATTGAATGAACGGGAAATTCCTATGAAAAATCAACAACTTTATATTTTGTTGGATTTAAACCTTTTAAATTTATTTAAGGTAAGAAAGGAAAGTTTTATAGTGATAGAAAATTAAAGGGATGTCCACAGGAAAAAGTTGATTCAGAAGTGGGCAGCTAATTCATTTCAGCCCATATTGATTGACACAAGTGGTCAAAGTTGGGGCAAAAAATCAATAATCACGTTATATGGGATTGATACGATATGTCATAGTGGATACCAGACCAAAATTTTAGTCCCTAGTCAACGACAACTCGCTGAGATTACAAATGTGCAGCAGATACACTTGGATTTTTAAACCCAAATCATTGATCTATGTTTAATACCTGAGAGGGCAACCAGCTATAAATACTTTGAGTACAAAATCTTAAAAGGAGATGTATATTGTAGAGCATTTCGGTGATTTTGTTGGGCATTTCAGTGTTTTTAGGGGCATTTCAGTAATTATGAGGCATTCTGGTGATTCGTGTTACCCATAATTTGATGAGTGCATGATTTTTACATGCATTACTTTAAGAGGAATTCAAAGTTGAATTTTATCACTGCACCAAGGTGCGACTTTTTGTAAATGCTGAGGTTAAAAAAAATTACACATTTAAAAAATTGATAAAATAGATAAATCGATCTATTCTGAATAGTTTCATTTAAAGTTATATGAGTTATATGGCTAAATCAAGCTACAAATTGTGTCTGATCACGTCACCTGCATAACATTTCCGTGTTTCCCAATCTCAAAACAAGTAAAGAAGGCAATACAGAACAAACTGTGTTCTTTGTTAAGTGCATAAAAAAAATGAGTGAAACAGGCACTGTAGGCCTAAAGTTTAAGCATAAATTGACGGTTCTCCGAAAAATTGACACCTACAGCTGACATAGCTCGAATTTTCTCAACTACATCACAATCTATTCATAGTGTGAAACTTCAAGCATCTTTTAAATTCCCTTCAAAAGTAAAATTACCAGATTTTCATACCTAACAGCTTAGATATGCTTGGAAAAACTGCTCTTTGTACTCAGTAATCAGTCGTTCTTTGTTCAGTTGTTTTAACCCACCTTTGCTTTGCTGGTTCCTGTCAACTTCCGGTGACCAGCATCACTATTCGGTCATTTGTAAACAATTGATGGGAGAGGTATTTATTTTGGCCATTTTAACAACCAGAGACCATATATCCATCTGTCTACATATGGAAGTTGTACATTTTTCGTTATTTTTTAAAATTTGACCTGTAGGGCATTGGAGGATCCAGAATATATTTTATTTGAGGTTAAAACTTAAATAAGTAGTTAAGGGCCTGCCTGATGCAATATCTAACAACAACAAAATACTTATTTTTTAAAACTACTATTTCCTATGTTGTCTTTGCTCGAAGGAAGCAATTTCAGATTTTTTTTAGGGGGGGGGGGGCTATAAACTAACAAAAATATCTTGACAAGCAATAAAATATGTCATCAGACTTTTTATTGAGCAGCTCAGTTGAGGGGGCACAACATATACATGTAGTAGCTATAAGTTTTCAATAGTATTCTGTATATCAAAAAATTATTGTGGTGAGGGGACCACCCCCTGTGCCCCACAACTAAGGATAGTATCTACTATATGTCCCAATACATTGTCACAGTGACATTTATACATCATATGGTATTTGCTTTTTTTACTAGATGCATTTTTACATCACACTATTTTACATTAGGCTCAAGCTGTATGTTCATAATTTCTACTTAAGCCGGCTTGCTCAATGCAATCTGAAATCTTGAGTTACAACTTAATAGCTTCAGCCTCTGAGGGTGTATAGAATTCATCTATGGAGAAAATCAGTGTACACCATTGATTGAATTGCAGTGGATTAACTGATAGTATTTACATTTTCGCTAGAATTACAAGTCTTAGAAAAAAAATCCATGTCATTTTTCCTCAGAAATAAAAAAAAATCATGATCCAGAAATAATTAATATAACTTTTAAATATTTCCAGGTCACATTTTACGTTCAAATTTAAAATTCCCAAATATTACATTTAGAAGAGGAAATCACCATTATTAATACTTTGATAATTCATGGAGTCTGTACCTTCATGCAGTAAGTCATCTAGAACAGGAGTGGAGAAAATGTGATGGACCAGACTTGGATTTGAAGCCCGGCCCCCTGAATCTCCAGTCAGGTGCTCTACAGACTGAGCTATCTGGCCACAAGTGATTTAACCCATCTGACCGCCATATTCCCCCCTCATTAAAGAACTTTTGACCCCGAAGACGTTAACCCTAGCTCTTCCCTATCAGGACTTTCATCTGTAATTTCCTGGGCATGGCACAGCACCAACAATGTAACAGGAAAGGAGAAAATTTATGACTTGATCGTCAATCAAACTTACGATCCTTGCATCATTAGTCAGGTGCTCTATCGAGCTACCTGGCTACCAGTAATTGGACCATTTTGACCGCCATGCACTATTCCGTACCCCTAGTAACGCTGTTGCAAAGGAAATGTTAAGGTCATATTGTATTGTATATATAAGAAATGAATTTAGTTTTTGAAGATTCATGATGAGGTTATGAACTAGTGTCTACGACACTTCACGCCGGCACATATTTTATGAAGCGCGTTAGCTTTCATTTTCTATTAAAAAATTTCTGATGAAAGTCCAGGCCTTGGAGAACTTGCTTTATGAAATTGCAGTGTTCTTGAATTTTAATGTAAACAGGTATGATTGAGTACTTTCAGTGAAGAAAAATAATATCAGCGCATTCTCTGATCTAAAAAATAAAACACGTCTTTCAAAGCTGAACACGATTCATAAAAGGAACGTATCCGCCATATTCGCTTCAGATTCTCGCTACTCTGCAGACCCCTATAAATAGGGGAGAACTTAGTCACTGTTCAGTCTAATCAGTCGACACCGGTGTAGACGGACGTATATTATATAGGACTTGGTAGCAAGAATAATAACGTAATTCTTGGTCTAAATTGCAGGAAAGTAAGATACCAAATAAATTTACAATTATAGTTGTACAGGTCAGTGCGCAGTATACAAACAATCAAGATATAGGAAACTGCAATAAAATGTAAACAAAGGTAATGCAAGATAACCAGCACGAACACAGGTGGCCATTCCACACCGACACCCGTGACAATAAAGCAGTCAGGTGTAACAAATGCGACGAGTATACCCTAGTGTTGATGTATCGTAGATAATGATATTGAAAATGGTATATGCCGATTTACAAGTCGTGTTCAGCTTTAATCCCCAGAAACCAGTTCTATCACTAAACAGTAGTTGCATCAATCTTATTAAAATAAGATGTTAGATCCGCTCACATGTTCACTACACTAACATCTAACAACATCCCATAGAGGGTCACAACATTCCCATAGATGGTCACGTCAGAGGTCAAATTCGGAACAGCTCTAGACTTATTCGCTTCAACAATATAAGTTGATTTTGCAGGCGACAATTTGATTTTGATTGGTTGATAAAATTTGGCCTCTGACATGACCCTTATTGGGATGTTGTTGGATGTTAGATGTGAATGTACATGATGTAGTGAGTATGTGAGCAGATCTAACATCTAAATTTAATTAGATCATAGTTGCATATTTCAGATTTGAGGTTGCGCTCTATATTCAATAACGAAAAATAGTTTTAAAAATTGGCTATTTGTAGACTTCTCCAGAATATTAGGAAATTGAAGCATTTCGTGGTGTCATAAAAATGCATTGAATAGCCAGAAAATTAGGTCATTTTTTTTATAGATATATGCAGTCACCAAAGATCTAAGTGATGTTTAATGCATTGTTAACAAAAACTAAGCAGTTTCAGTTTTTAAGAAATTTACAGGGCCAAATAAGGCAAAAGCGAACCTTGTTCTTTGCTGACTCTGAGTCAGATGGTAGAGCATCTGCTTTAGAGTCTCAGTCTAAAGAGTTGATCTTGCAGGTTTGAATCCCACTGTGGGACATTGAAATCAGTCCTTCAAATGAGACCGTATAAACCGAGGTCCTCTGTTGCAGTAGATGCCAGCACGAAAAAGATCCCTCCATGCTCAATGTCCTTGAGTGTTCAGTATAGGTTAAAATTTGCAGCCCTACACTGACAAGTGAGTGAAAAAGAGCTACATTAAACAACGAACAAATAATGAAAAAAAACATTGTTATCTCTAACTTTGTACAATTGATTGATTGTATATTGTTTAACGTCCCTCTTGAGAATTTTCCACTCATATGGAGACGACACCACTTGTCGATGGAGAGCTGTAAATTTTGTCCCAGGCTCGGCACTCAGGGCCATTTAGCAGGGAGGGATCTCTATGTCCCACAGTGGGATTCAAACCTGCAATGTAAGGATTGACTCCTTACTTTGTGACTCTAGAGCAGACTCTCTAACCACTGCACCAAGTGGGCATCTTGTAGGATTGAGAAAGAAGCTCAAAATATCCAACGAGTCAAGATACTGAAGGTAAAATACTTAAAGAATATGGATTCAGGCATCGTTGCAAGCCACAGGTTTTGTGTCCATTCTATTTTTGTGGGAATAGAATGATAGAATGGACACAAAATGTGTGGCATTGGCGTTGGAAGCAAATTGAAAGTGGGGGGGGGGGATAAGTGTTAAAAAAAAATTATACCATTAAAAAAAAACCTGATAAGCAAAAAAAAAAAAAAAAGGAAAACTGTCCCAATCACGTAAATCTTATTTCTTGGGGGGGGGGGGGTTCTAACTTTAGTACAAAATTTTTTTTCCAAACACTACACTTTCTCCATTTTTAACCTTTACTGTGATGTGTCTCTGCAAGTTGGGGGGGGGGCTAAACCTATAAAACATTGTACAATGTCTATACTAAGTGTATTTTTGGAAAAAAAAGTGGAGGGGGGGGGGGCTAAGCCCCCCTAGCCTCCCGGTTCTGATGCCTATATGTGTGACTTTCAATGATGAGATTCAGGATACCAAGGGGTAAAAAGTTAAAGCAGTGCATGTAGCTCTCTGGTCTGTCAATTTTTTTTTCAGAGAGCTACTGTTCTGCAGTTAATATAAGATGTAAGGGGAGACTTCACTGTAAAAAAAAAAAGTCACTTGTTTTTAAATCCCAAATCAGACTCCAAATTTGTTCTACTTCTTTAAAGAGAGCACATTTCTCATTGTATTCCGTATACACGGTAAAGTTTTTACACTGTTTATTATTTTTTTTAGAAAGGGAAAGTCATTAACTTTTGTTATTCTTGATCAGGAAATTAGGACTACCCTCATTCTACTATTATAACAGTATCTCAATGCCTTTTTAAGACCGTAATGTTTAGTGAACAACAGACAGACTTATAATTGTTAATTTACGTGTTTGTAATTTCATTGGCTTTAACAAACGAAATCAGAATGTCGGAAAATCGAGGAAATTCAGTCAATATGAATGAATGTATTGTAACATAAATAAAAAACGATATCTAAGTTCAAAATAGTAAAATATTACTTATATTACAATATTTTCAAATTAAATCATTTCAATTATTCGATAAAATATCTTCAAACACAGTGTAACTTTACTCACAAACTTAATCAATGTTAACTGAATACCTAGCAAAATAATCTGTTTGACACATTTCAGAAATTTTCATCGGTACACAGTTTTTTAGACAACTAAATACTAATAAAATATGCTAAAAACAATTAATTCGCCTTTTAAACTATGTAAATATCATCAAAAGTTGTTGCCAATAACTTACTTGTACTGTTGATGTCCATTTTCACGGAAGTTATTCGTGCGCATGCGCAAAAAAATCCATCAGGGGAAAGTGTGTAAACGCCATGGTGCAGCATGAAATTCTGTGTGAAAAAAATCTCGTTCATACCGGAAACTCACACTATAAACAATTTTGTATTTTCTGGGTAAAACACGGTCAGAAATTCCGTTTTCAACGCTTCAGAAAACTCACTACACGAGTGTAAGTAGTGACTTTTCAAAATGTAGTGACTCGTTGGTGTGTTACCTACTTCGTGTAGTGAGTTTTGGGGTCTTACACACACACCCACACACACACACACACACACACACACACACACACACACACACACACACACACACACACACACACACACACACACACACACACACACACACACACACACACACACACGTGTGAAGGGTGTCAAACGGGGACAGGGGTTAAAGACTGTCAAAGTGGGGACTTCTTTATTTTTGATATTTCATTGACTTTTGACTTAATATATTAATCACCATGTAATCCTGATGACAAATATAATGAGAACATATCAATATCTTTAATTTTAAGCTAAGCACATTTCACAGCACAAACGGGGACCTATTTCACACTCATTAATATTCACACACCAGTTCTTGTTTTATTGTATCTAAACGGGGACATTTTCCAAAGCGAATAAAATCCTCTCTTTTGTGCCTTTTATTCACTCATTACAACCGTCTCATCACTGATTAAGACCCATGTCTTCATAGGCACTTGAATGCTTACTATTTTAAATCAAATATGGAAATTACGAACAGTTATTGCATGATGAAAATATATTTTAAATTTTTCTTCTCAAATAAAGTCTAGGAATCTGTCTTAAATTTATCAATTTGGCATCACTGACCTCTTTGTCGCAGTGACATGATTAATGGAATTTAAATATGGTGATTGCAACATAGTTTGCAAAATTCAAAGCTACTTGTTTTGTCTCAGAATTAGAGTATTGAACAAGAAAAAATATTGTCATTTGACATACTTACAACTATAAAAAATATAACACAAGATCAGAAGGGGGGCGCTGATAATACCACTCCAAAAAATGACCAATTTCAAACTAAAAAGAAAAATTTATATTGACCTATTGATAATGTTCAGCTATTGAATATAATCGATAAACACTTAAAATCAAATCAATGCATTTACGTATACGCTTCATTACAGTCGACGACGACTTCTTTAAAATATTTACATTACATTGCATCTTTGATCGGGTACTTTTATTTAAAAAAAAACATTAACTAAAAAATCTTTAAAAGCAAAGACAATTATTCATTTTTTGTTTTACGCAGAAAACCTATGATCCGGAAGTATTATACCTGTGCAGTATTTTTAATGGCACCAAATGTTTATGAAACTAAAGTCAAATAATTTTATTTTTTATAAGAAATATACAAATGAACTAAATTAACAGAAATCAAAAAAAAAAAAAAAAAGCAGGAGTTAAATATGTTTTCCATAACCGTTGCTTAAATTATAAAAGAAAATTTACATGACATTTCAGTTGCGACTGCTGCAAATAGGGTACTTTAAACCAATTAACTTTTTGCAAAATCATCTGATTGCTTGAGATATGTATACTGTACTATACTGTAAGGGCGGGTTCGAGCACCCTCGTCCTCATTGTAAAAAAAATTATTTCAGAAAGTAGACACTTTTGTTGTAGAGTTGCATTCCCCCATAGCCAACCCCCAACTGCCCCACAGGGAATCGTACTCTAGAGCAGAATTTCCCTCCGAGGGGAATTCACACACACCAGAACCAAATTAGTCCTTGAAGTTCTATCTTTCTCAGAGTAGGATACCCCATCCCTTGTCATATAGAGAGTAAATATAAACCACAGCCGCATTTATAATAAAATAAACCACAAAAAGATTTTTGAATGGTAAATTAGTGTTTTTCAACTTATGTACATTTAGGAAGTATATATTTCAATTCATCAACCAAAATGTTTAGCTTTCAAAAGAAACGCAAATCTCCCCAGAATAGATGTATTAACACCTCTAGTGGCTCAGCGGTAGATGTATTTTTAATGTTCTTTTTGACAAGGCTGTTTAAAGATTTTTTTCATAGAAAGTCCCTTATTTATGCATACTTTTTACTACTTATATTTTGCTTGAATCCAATGAACGGAAGAATTGTTTGAGTTCGTAGCATCTGAAAACGAATTAATTATTTAATAAATAGTTAGTTATCTCCTTTTATTTCATACGTCTACTGATTTTTTCCTCTATAAAATTTACGCAGTAAAATGTGAATAATTCCCTAGAAATCTTTGCGAATGGACTAAACCCCGTGAGACACATCTGCGTTTCGAATCATCTGAGAGATGTAAACCCAGTATGTAGATTATAAGGGTATGCAGGAGCATTGCTAAGTTTATCATAAAGCATTTAACAAGATATTGTCAACTAATGTCACGATTCCTTTTTCAAACTGTTAAACGGCATGTTATTTGATGTCTTTCTATAAAGTATAATAATCCACTCGTCAAGTGCATGTATCATATTGTTGAAAAAAAAATCCTACCGTTCAACACTTGAAATTGTCAATAGACAGTGGAAAAGTTTAAGCTCTAAGTTTAATCCTGAACGTTCAAAAGGTAGCTCTGCTTTTATAATAAAAGAATTAAATACGAAGTTCATGTCCTTCACATCTTTCCCTGAATAATATACAATTTGTTTTAGAAAAATCTTTCGGCCAATCAAAATCTCTATGCAGGAATATGTTAAATTGAATATAATTTGTTAGATATGTTGACGTTGCGACCGTTATGGCGAGCACAGGTATTTCTTTTGGTATGATTTAGGTCGGGCCTGTCAAACTGCACGTGCCATTTGATGCGTCTAGACTTTGACGTCACATGACGTCGTGTGTAAGTCACATTACCAAAAAAGAAGCCTGAACAGTGCTAAAAGTAAATGAACGTTTCGTTATCTATTTATCTTCAATATTTATCCATTAAATCAGGGCGTGTTAACTTTTACTTGAACTTTTGCTGCAAAAGTATAATGTGTCAGTCTAACAAGTCTATATGTTGTTACTGGACTACATCAGCTTGAATACGTTTAATCTAAAATCTTCGAATTCACTCTTCTGTCTTGAAATCGTGATTAACCAAAATTGTGATCATTATATAAAGAGAATGATCGCATCTATATAAGTACTCTAGTATTTATGCACAGAGGCCAGTAATATACTGTTTTTAATTTTACGTAATCACTATATATATACAAAAAAGGAAAGGGAAACAACGTCACCCCGAATTTACACAGGGTCGATTTTAAATATTTCGTATTTCATAGAAAAAAGAATGTAGCCAATTAAATTATAACTAGAAATCATACTACAATAAATATTCTTTAATAAAACAGAAACCTCGTTACTTTTTATAGAGTTTAAGTTGGGTATTACGAACTCGATATCCCGTTGTGCGAGTCGATGTACTTTAAGTCGTCCACTAAAACGAGACAAAATTTGCATATTTTCTTCAGTTTTGAAGTCTTTCCGGAGATGGAAAACATAAAGTAAAGATCCAGCGTTCACGAAAATCATCTTTTCCTTTTGTTAATTGCAATTAAAAGGAACATCTCCGATTTGAATAAATACGGTAGCTTTTTTCGTTCACAGAGAGGCTCGAGCCCAGAACAGACGACATTTTGGAAAAACCCATGATTGGTAAAAGGCGGAGCGTGATTGGTCAGATCTGTTCTAGAAAAGCACCATTGACCAATCACATCTCGCGTTAAATATTGGATGCAATGTTTAGCGAAATTAGTGGACGACTCAAACTACATCACTTGCATGACATGATATCGGATCTGCAAAACACGACTTACACGATTCTTAAATGACCGCGATGGTATTTTTATTATAGTGATTATATCTGAATGATCCCAGACGTTATTTCACTAACTGCAAGGTATTTTATTGAAAACACGAGTCATTTCCAAGATCGACCCTGTGTAAATTCGAGCTGACCTTTCTCTTTTTGTAAACATACAGTGATTACGTAAAATCAAATACAGTATGTTACAGGCCTCTGTGTATCTATGTTGTTAGGGATAAGTGGCCTCATGTCATTCCGAAATTCGTCTCATAAACTGAACATTTTATGGTTTCGATTTATGATCGAGAAAGTAATCAAAGGCCAGGCGTTAACATTTTCATCCATATATGGTAAATTCGGTTTACAATTTTCGACAATTGTATCGCCTTTTTTGTGGGTTCTCCCCCTGTGTGCAACCATTTTCATGTGGACTATGTTTCACAAAGGAAAACTTTTGGGCACAGCACAAATCTTTTTGATTCTGGTTATGTGTAACGATGTTCTGTTACGATGTTCATGGGCATTCGAGACGGACTCCTAGATTACATGGACATGAATTATGGATTCATAGAATACAAGATCTGCAGATTCATGATTGTATCCTGTGTTGTTTTGAAAGTACTTCATGGAACGTCAAATCATCTCAAGTGTCTTTCATCGTTAACCCAGGCCCTTTTATTTTTCTTTCCCATAAAATTTAAATACTACTACGGCCGATTTAAGGTATTAATTTGCATTTGGTTTTTTATTCATTTCATAGTGTGTAGTTTACAATTTATTACTCCAATTGGTTCGTCGTTGACCCCCGCTAGAACTATACAGGAGTTCTCACCGGGGAAGCCCTTAAAAATCATAGATGCCTGTAAATTAGATTTTGGTGAAGCTGGAACCTGGGACTTCTTTTACCAAACGGACTCTCTGGGGTTTTTCAGCAATTTGGTTTATTTCTATATTATACCCATTTTTATCAATAGTGGCAGTGTTATTGCTCTCTATTTTATCATGAAAAACCAAATAAAAGTTCTTGACGTGTTAACGAACGGTGGATCTACCAATAAAGTTAAATATCTTCGATTGCTAAAAGTCAATATTCTGTTAGGAACCTCTTTCATTATGTCGCAGATTCCACTAGTTATACTCATGTTTTATCTTCATCTCAACATGGACTTTATGGATGACAGCTATGTTTATTCCTCCATATTTCTTTTCTTCATGTTCATCTACTTAACATTTACACTTAGCAAACCAGTCGAAATTTTTATTTATGCCAGTCAAAGTAAATCCTTTAGAGATCAACTGCCAAAATGTGTATGTTCAAAGTGATTGTGAACTTCTTTCACTTCAAAGATTATCTGCCAAAATGTCTGGGTTCAAAGTTTTTTTTTTTTTTTTTGCAAAAGCCTAAAGCAGGTTTTGACA